CTACTGCTACGTTAAAAGCACGCACTAAAAAATTTATTTCTTTGCTTGCGTTTTTAATTTTTTAAGAAATACATAGGTACCAGTCTATTTAGTCTACACAATTCAGTTAACAAATGAGTATAGATTTCTAATTTCTACATAATTATTTTTGTATAATATAAATGCATTCAAAGTTAAACCTAGTGTGACGAGGCTTAATATAAACCCAGACTGCCATGTAGCGTAAAATTTTAAAAATATTGCATTATGTAAACGTCGAAATTTTCTACGTGCTTATTAATTTATTCATGCAAACTAAAGTAGATTTGTTCTTATAGTGATATATCAAAAAAGTACATGATGTTTTTGTGCGAAAGATGACAGTATGTTTTAGAGAGTCACAAACGGAAGAACAACGCGTTAGACTTTTAATTATGGACATTTTATTGAGATGCTAATATTTCGGACCGAATTACAATTGTGACTCTAAACATGGACGAGTTTGGTTAGAAACGTCAGCATCTGTATAGGATGTTTATGCTTAATGGTTTTATGCCTTATTTTCTAATTTGTGAGTTTGCGAAACTTTATGATTTATTTCAAAGGCTCTATCTGATAACTGTGTCGATGCAAGGTCAGATACTCGTCCACGAGTTGCGAATAAATGAACAACCATTGGATATGAGGATTAGCTGCCAAGTATATGAAGATTCTAATGAATAAGCAGTCGCGGACAACGTGGCAATGGTGCAGCGGGCCAGCTACTTTCAAAGTTGTCTCGATATAAAATATCGCAGGGCCCAATGACATCTGGGTCAAACGGCGAGTGCATGTCGCCATCAAATACGTATGCTTCCATACTTAACTGGTCATAAACGGTTGCAAGTTTGGTGGAGAAAAACGGGGGCGTCAGGCAGGGAGCTGATCGTAAAGCTAGTGTTGAAGTCAAATATGATGAGTCAGCTTACTTCTAGAAAAAATCTAGGACGTGCCCCACACAGGCGATATGCAGCAGCAAATCCTGGCAACTGTGAGAAATTGGCAAGGGAACCTGTTCATGCGACGACGTTAACTGCAAACAGAGAGATTGCTATACCGAAAGAGAAACGACAGAATGCGAATGGCCACTTGGAACATTAAAACAATGATGATAAAGGGCATGGAGCTAACGAAGGCTCTTCAGAGAAGAAAAGTTCAGATCGGTTGTATTAAGGAGATGAAGTGCAGAGGTGAGAAGTCGAAAGAGACTGGAATAGGCTATAAACTTATTTACTGTGGAACATCAAGCACAAGAATTGGATTCTAGTAGTATTGAATGAAGCGGCCAAAAGTAGGGTATTATGAATCAACCGAATTAACAACAGAATCGTGGGCATTAAGCTGACTTTAGAAAATGATATGTTAAATATAATAAGTGCCTACGCCCCCAGGCTGGCCACAATGAAGTCCACATTCTGGGAGAGCCTAGACGTTTAATTGCAAAATATGCCGCGAAACGAAAAAGTGATAATCAGGGTGACTTTAATGGGCACGTTGGGAAACCTCGAAGGATCTATGGCAAGCATAGACATGGAACATTAAGTAAAGAATTGGAAGACGTTGCAGGTGGCAGTTGCATATGATCTGGCCAGAATAAACACGTTTGCTAATTTACCAGAGCTTGCATATGAAAAATATTTGACCGACCATTTCTTTCTGAGAAGAAAGAAATTGAACAGTATTAGAGGTTGCAGGTCTATCCTGCGTAAGCCAGCACCAATTATTAGTCCTATATATCTGCTGAAATAGTTCGTTAATAACGATGTGTCAGAGGGATCTATTTAAAAAACTATTCGCATAGCTTATGCATTCGTTTGTCGAAACGAGC